TCTGCTGGCGAGTAGTGTCTAAGGCCTGCCTCCACTCTGTCCTGTCTTACCCCACCATCAGGGCTCCTTGCAGCTGGGGGGGGAGGGGGGGATGGTGTGCAGTCCAAGAGCCCTGTTGGTTGTGCAGCCCTCCTCAAGAGCTCAGCAAAACTCATTAAGTGGCCCTCCAGCCCAAATAATTGCCCATCCCTGATCTAATCCCAAGTGGCTGCACCAGAGGGAGGGGGAAGTGTTGGACCAAAGATAAAGGAACAACCTCCTATTTCTACAGAAAGGTCTGTAAGATCATTAATGAGTCATCAAAAGGTTCCATTCAAAATCATTTATTTGACATCTTTCAGAAGGATGGAAGGCTGGCCTATAGAATTAACAGGCATGAATGCTAAAATGCATCTATGGTGAAATATTCTCTAGTATAGAAAGCTAATGCAAAATCTACGTATAACCCAGTACGCAGTGTAGGCTAGGAGTCCCTCCTGCTTCAGTAGTCTTTTAGAGAGCCTGAACTTTAGTAACTCATACTTTTAGTTCTGGGCCTTCCCCTGTTCAGTCCCAGGTATGTAGCCCCAATGCGAGCCAACATGTAACTGGGGACTGTAAATAACTCTCATTGCTTGTGGATCAGGTATCTATGGGGGCACACACTGATCAAGCAGTTACCTGTGCACCATTTAAATCCCATTAAACCCATATGTACTGCATAGGCCTGTGCAAACTGCTCAGGGCTGAATGTCACATATATTTAAAAAAAAATGAGAAGCTAGCAGTAACAGGATTATTTTATAAAACTTAAGTAGAAGGCTATGTTCTAAACACAACTGTTAATAAACTACTTTCTCCAATGTCACAAGCACCAAGGTGCCTTCTGAGGCAAACTTTGAAGGTCTAAAAATAAGTGCGCCATAACTTTTAAGGAGGATAAAGAAATGACGGAAAATTGTGAGAGCATAAAAAGTGAAGCCCACCATTAACAAATCATCACAAATGTACACGTCTTAGCAAACAAATAGAAATTTGGAGCTAGTCACAGTCTGCCTAAATGTTTACTGAAACTATTGCAGCAGTGCAACAAGGGAAAATTTAAATCAGATGAGTGGCAGGTGGGTTTTTTTACATTTCTCCATGAAGTGTTTTCTTGGGAATGTCAGGTGAAATGTCTGGGAACTTCTGAAGGACAAAATGTGTGGAGATTTTAACTGTAACTGGGGGAAGCCAGAAAAATCCTGTTTGAGCTATACCGAGAAAACAAGTGACTAAAGCAGCACCTGAAGCAACAGGGCCCAATAGAGTGGACCTTTGGTTTGTTTTAGGCTTCAGTGAGCACAAAGTTCTGGGAAGGAGAATGACAGATGTAGTTTCATAGTGTTTGGACATTTTGGTATTGCAAAATCCTTTCCACAAGTAATAGAAAGAAGGCTGTGTATTGCCAGACTCAGCCACTAAGAAGCACTGGTCATCTGTGAGGCAACCCCATGAGATAACATCATGTAATTTTTGGTGAATGACTGTACTTGTTTTGCAGATTGACTGGCAAGACACTGCTACCCTTTTAGTCAGTCTTCAAAATGCATTTTCTGGCCCAATATCAAGAGCTAATATGGAGCTTATCTTTGTTGTATGTCAAGGGCTACAGAGTCCCCCTGCATAGTCTCCAAGTTCCCTCTCCTCACCCACAGCAGAGCCTCAGCAGTCTTCTGTGGCTGTAGGGGGTTTTAGAGGATTTGGCCCAGAAAACTTGGTGCTGATGCTGCATGCTAAGCAAGTACTTCTGCTGTTTCTCAGGACATTGGCTAGGGAGTTACACATAAGCCGGTTTAAGTGATCAGAAACTGGTTTAAACCTTTAATAGAATAGAAGCTCAGTGCACATAAACCAGTTTCAAACTGGCTGAAACTGGTTTAAGATAAACCTGTCTGAATGTAGTAACAGATTTAACTGATATAGGTCAAACCGGTTTATAAAGCTTCTGTCCCAAACCATGGGCTGCTTGTCTCAGTGACTGTAAAGCAGGCCTGTAAACAAAAAGGGATACTGCTCTCAGGTTAGCTGAGACCCAGTTTATCCTAATGTCAGTACTAAAAACACTGCTTACAACAGCTTTGCACGAAGGAGCAGTAAGTACCTCTTCTGATACTAAAGAAAGACCTGGTCTATCCACTTCCATTGTTCCAGATGGATTGCAAGGGAAACAGTAAATAAACCTCATGACTGGAGGAAAGACGTTCAAATGCTTACAATTCTTTTAGTTGTAATAATTCAATGCATGACTAAGGAAACCAGCTAAAATGTCAAGGGTCAGCTCCTCAGTCAATGCAGCCTTGTAAGTTACACTAGCAAAGGATTTGACCCATGATTTTCTTTTTGACAGTATCCCTTTAATTAAAATACATGTGATGTTCTCCAGGGCTTGGATAATCTGCTGGCAGAGTAGCATCCATTGTTCTCCATGAAGTACTTATCACCCACACTTACAAGAAACGGAGCTTCAACTTGATGTTCATGACAGCTCTCTTCAACTGGTTCTGTTTGGATTTGGAGAGGCTTCACTCTGCATGAATTTCTTGCAAAGAAGGATAGAGCTAAGGCTGTGAATCACCCTAGAAACAAAGGATTAGTTATGGGTAAATATCTGGAAATACCACAGTACTGTAAAGTGTGACTAAAGCTATTATCCCTGAGCAATGGAAAGTCTCCCCACCCCCACAATCTCTTGAGAATATGGTAATTATTACCAGGGGTGTGAATGCTGCATGCCTGGAATAAGTCACTCTAGTCAAGCAAACCCATGCTTAGTGTTGCCCTTTCCACATGTAACAATGCTGGATTATCAATAAAAGACTATTGGAAGCACCTGTCAAAATACTGTTATTGTTAAACCTCTATAGTTCATTAATACCTGATGGACTTAAGCATGTGTGATTATTTAATTATGGGTGTTTTACTCTCTCATCTGCTGCTGAAGTGATCAATAAGGCAAAAGGCGCACAGCCCAAGAGAATTACTGGGCTCTTCTGTAAATCTGATAATATGCAAACAGCCATGAACTATGCAAAATTTTCACTCCATCAACAGTGAAAAATGGCTTATTGGCTCCCTGTCAAAAGTAAGTGGCAGGATTGATATGCACTTTCTCCCTATGGTAATCTGCTTGACATACAAACACCTGTGCCCTTGGAGTAACTATAATAGTCATTCAAACTATCCAGAATCAGCCAATGGGCATGATTAAGCATATGAAAGTCCCACCTATGAATCTCAGTGGTATTCTCCAATGCTCTCAGGTCTCTGTGCTCCCAAAGGCCTTTGTTGATCATAGCTGTTAATAAGCTGAGGTCAGGGGGAAAAAATTTCCTCCCTGATATTGGGTTGAACATTATAGGAGTTATACTGTGTCCTCTAAGTTGGCTAGAGTCCTATATTTTTCTAAGTGTTTTTCCAATATTCCTAAGTCTTCACTTTTATGACAGTATAACCAGCTTAGTATCTAAATGATGGAAAAAGTCTGAAATGGGTGAGTGAATCCCAATCAGAGCCTACTGATTAAACAAATGTTCTGTTTCCGTTCAATGACCCTGCACCACTGTGGTCATCTGTGAATTAATCCCCTGGCAATGTCATTTCATTCTTTTTTTAAGACCTGCACTGTTGTATTGGGCTGAGAGTCTGTATAAAGAAGACAGGATGATAATTTCTGAGGAAAGGTAATGAACCCTTGTGTGTTATACAGTTGTGTAGGAAGCACAGGGCAGCATAAGTCATTATTACAGAAGGTAGGCATCATTTTAAATCGATAACTTTGAAATGACAGCACTATTGTACTGAATTTTTCGCTGTTAGCTCTCTAAGTGCCTAACAGTATATTATGTGGATGACGTGACCAATTCTGCTATTGCAATTTTGCTTGGTTATTCTATATTAGAATCAGGTTCAATCCTGACAATTACACTGACGTGATGTTGGTTAGATGGTAGAATTTATTGCATGTGAAAACTATAATGAGAAAGTTTAAAGCAAAATGAAAGTATGTGCGTATATGGGCAGGGATGCCATCACCAGGAACTGGAGCATTAAATACAAACCTGTGTGATTTTAACTTCTGGGAAGATATCCAGAAGTCCTTTTAAAGTAATAAATTACATGCTGATGATGCAGTAATGATATAAATGAAAAAGATATACCAGTACCTGACCACAGAAAGCATTGCATAGAATTGAGAGCATTAACACCAGTCAACCTGGAACAAGAGTAAACTAGCTTTCCTAGCTCTCTCCTCTAATCATCAAGTACCACAGGATCATTGACATCCACGTGAATGACTAAGACCATAACACAGTAATAAAAACTTTTTTTTTTTTATTGACAATGTCCTGTAAAACATTTTCTTGACAAAAATATCTTACTGGAGTGCTGTACAGCTAACAATAATCACTGTTGATCAGTGCTTCTTTTAATTAGTTTAAAGCCAGTAAGTATACTGTAGAAATTCATATACATTTAATGAAAAGAAGAAATAAAAACATGTTTTGATCAATATTAGCTCTTCAGTTGCTTGGCACATGTAGAAAAAGTGCCATCCTTAATTCCATCTTGATACAAGAAAGAGAGGAATAGCCAACAAAGGAAGATGCTCAGAGAAAATGGCACTGCTTTAGCTTTTATAACACTAATGTGATTTGGAATACTCAAACTTTTATTGCACCAAGTAACTTAAAATGTCTGTTTAATATTTTTCCCAGTTCACCATTTGATCTCTCTAGTCTGGATTTTCCCTTGCCTTCCATTTAACCTGCTGTTTCTGACATGAGAGGTATTTTTAATTAATTGGTAACAAGATTTTGATGGGAAAAAGAAGAATATGGCCCAGCTTTTCCATTTCAGTCACCCACTGCTTGGCACACGTTCACTTTTTTTCTTTGTAACAACAACAGCTGCCTAGTATGGAGGTTTGTAGTTATATACTATGTGAGACCTGCCATTTGGAAAAGATATTGTGACACCTGCCTGTAAACAGCTGTTGCACTTGTCCTGGTAGAAAGCCTGTTGTCCTGGGATCATACAGATGTACATGTCCACTGTCCCATGTCAAGTCCCTCTGAAGTATCCTGGTTAATATATAGTAAAACTGTTTAGGACATCCTGTTTTACCTCTGTGCAGCTTGTCATATTGTGTGCTTTTGCTGGCCACCTACTGGCAAAGAAGCACCAATGTAGCTTGAAAGGTTAACATGTTTTGATCCAAGTCAAAGCTGGGGACAATCCGTCCTAGGTCAAATAAAACATCTGTTCATACCCTTGGATAATTTGACAGTAAGTGATCTGAAAGTCTCTGATGGGAAAGGGGACTTCCATCTGGCAAAAGAGACATGGAAGACTCAAAAAAGGAGTAGAACGTACAACACAAAGTCCTTTGTATCATTTGCATTAGCGTTCTTTCAAGCCACGAGCAAACAGCATAAAAGAAAACTGCAGCTTTTAAAGCTAACAAAAAGAAACTCTAATCATCAGCTATGGCTCAGCACCCCAAGCCGCATGTCTGTTCTCATGTCGCTGTAGATTTCTCCATTAGAAACTTGTCTACACTAGAAAATAACATCAGGGGAGGGCACAACTTTAAGACATTGTTTTAGCTGTTTGATGTTGTGGTAAGTGTAGAGAGAAACAAGTCCTATTCAGCACCATATCAGGTGGCTATAGTCTCCACAATCCAAACCAGCATTACTATGTCTAGGGAAGATACCACCCAGTGTGACTAAAGATGACAGAATCTAGCAAAAGTTCACTGTATGTCCACAGCTCCCTGGGTGACTGTGTGAGCAGGAAGCTTAGTCTTGCTTATAATCATCAACCAGACAAGATGTTCTGCACAGGATGTTTTTTTCAGTATATGCCCATCCCTGTTTGGCAAGGTAACATTAGGAAAAACTTCCTCACAGTCAGGGTGTCCAGGCTGTGAAATAAGCTCCCTCTCGAGGTGGTGCAATCACCTACCCTGGAAATCTTCAAGAGAAGACTAGACAGTCACTTTGAGGTCACCTGACCCCCAGTTATCTTTCCTGCTTGGTGCAGGGGGCTGGACACAATGATCTTCCAAGGTCCCTTCTGCCTTACCCTCAAGGCTCTGTCCTTGGACCTATACTATTCAACATCTTCATTAATGATGTGGACATTGGAGTCAGAAGTGGACTGGCCAAGTTTGCTGACGACACCAAACTTTGGGGTAAAGCGTCCACACCTGAGGACAGGAGGGTGATCCAGGCTGACCTTGACAGGCTCACGAAATGGGCGGATGAGAACCTGATGGTGTTTAACACTGAAAAATGCAAGGTTCTCCACCTTGGGAAGAAAAACCCACAGCATGCAGCGCTACACTGGCTAGCACTATGGACGAAAGGGACTTGGGGGTTGTGATTGACCACAACATGAACATGAGCCATTCATTTGATGCTGCTGCTAGTAAAGCGAGCAAAATGCTGGCTTGCATACCTAGATGCTTCCCAAGCAAATCTCAGGACATCATTCTCCCATTGTACTCAGCCTTGGTGAGGCCGCAGCTGGAGTACTGCGTCCAGTTTTGGGCCCCACAATTCAAAAAGGATGTGGAGAAGCTTGAGAGAGTCCAGAGGAGAGCCATGCACATGATCAGAGGTCAGGAAAACAGACCTTATGATGAGAGGCTGAGTGCTATGGGACTCTTCAGCCTGGAAAAGCGCAGGCTCAGGGGTGATCTGATGGCTGCCTACAAGTTTATCAGGGGTGCTCACCAGGATCTGGGGGAACATCTGTTCACCAGAGCGCCCCAAGGGATGACAACGTCAAACAGTTATAAACTCCTCCAAGACTGTTTCAGGCTGGACATAAGGAAGAACTTCTTTACTTTCCGAGCCCCCAAAGGTCTGGAATAGACTGCTGCTGGTGGTGGTTCAAGCACCTACTTTGAATGCCTTCAAGAGAAATTTGGATGTTTATCTTGCTGGGATCCTATGACCCCTGCTGACTTCCTGCCCCTGGCACAGGGGACTGGACTCGATGATCTTCCAAGGTCCCTTCCAGCCCTAATGTCTATGAAATGTATGAAACATCTGAACTCTGAAACCTCAATACCTAAGACATTTGGACTATTCTTTCAAAGCCTGAAAAAGGAGCTACACTGAGCTTGAATATAAACAGACTCCTTTACAGTTCAGGGGTTCACGTGTTATTCTAATTCCCAAACCAGATGGGACTATTACTTATCTGAGGCTTTACACCATAGCAGTATACAAATTTTCACTTGTATGTAAAAAAAATAAATTTTGTACAGGCTGAAGTCAAGATCTATAGCTTGCTAGGATTAAACTACCTGAGGATACTGGCAATTACTGTTAGACCTTGAGGATCAATTATAGAGAGTTCTTCAGTCCTTTGTGCTTTACAAATATACATGTTGTCTTGTAGATCTAAGAACTTAGTGGCAACTTCTCAGGACTCAATAGAGAAAATCTTACTGAAGTGGAGTGGGTTTGCTGCAAGGTACTTGAAGATTTTTTTTTTTAAGCCTGAAAAGAACCAGGATTATAGTTATCTAGTATGACCACCTATACAACATGAGACATAGAATTTTTTTGTATTAATTCCCGCTTCAGATCCAATAGGTACTTAAACTAGAGCATGACTTCTCGCAAAACATCCAGTGATGATGTAGGCCTGTGCGAAACAGCACCGTTTCATTTCAGCTTCCATTTTGCCCTTTCAATGGGACAGTGTTTCATTTTGAGTTTTGTTTCATTTTGAAAGCACTGTTCTGTTTAGTTTCATTGAAACTCTTTCACTGTTTTGACACTGTTTCAATGTTTCGCCCATAGGCTATAATGGGGAAGCATGAAACTGCCTATAACTTTGTCATTTTTTAGCAGATTTGGATGATAACAGCGAGGATGGTAGCCCCTTCGTGAAGGTATGAAACCTGCCAATTTTCAAGGAGATAGGTGCAGGGCCTTCTGGGAAACTGGCCCTCAAATTCTTGAAAGTACGCCATCACTGTGTCCCCATCTGCCCCTCTTCCCTCTCCCTTTCCTTACTTTCTGTTTCCCTGCAGGCAAGCCCAGCTACAGCTTTGAAACTTGAAATGTTTCAAAACTTTCAAAACGTTTTGACTGCCCTTGTTTCATTTTGAGGCGGTTTCGAAGCCCTTTGTTTCATTTCAATTTTGCTGTTTCGAGCTTGAAACAAGTCGAAACAGCATCGAAGTGAAACAACCTGCGAAATTTCTCACAGCCCTAGTAAAGATCCCTAAAGATGGAATTAGCTTAATTTTTCTGTCTGAATGTGTGTAGCTTCAAATTCTGGCCACTGGATCTTGTTATGCCTCTGTCTACTAGACTGAAAAATCCTCTCTTACCAAGTTCCTCATATTAAATTGAGATAACCGCCATGAAATACTAACTAGTAGTCTGAACAGTAGGCCTGTGCGAGTAGGCAGGTATTTGATCTGGCTTTGGAAATGGCCGATTCAGGTGCCAGGGATCCGATTCGGAGCTCCAGACCGGGTTCCCACTTCAATCTGGCCAAAGCAGCTCTAAAGCTTCCGAGCCGCCTTGGATATCTGGCCATAGGGTATAATGGGGGATCAATGAAATATCTATAACTTTGTTGTTTTTTGTCCAATTTGGATGAAACTTGCAGGGGTGATAGCGTCTGCTGAGAGCATGAAGCCTGCCAAGTTTCAAGAAGATCAGCGCAGGGTTTTGGGGGAACTGTACCCCAAATTCTTGAAAGCAAAACTCATGTCACATGTATGTGTTACACTACAGAGGGGTGAAAACTGCAGGGGTGGTGGCCCCTAGTGAGGCCACAAAGCCTGCCCAGTTTCAAGAAGATAGGTGCAGGAGCTTGGGGGAAGCTGCACCTCAAGCTGCTGACAGGCAAAGCTCGTGACATGGGTGACACTGCGTGTGTTAAGGTGCAGCAGGGTGAAAGCTGCAGGCGTGCTAGCCCCTGCTGCGGCCATGAAGCCTGCCAGCTGTCAAGGAGATAGGTGCGGGAGTTCTGGGACCCTGCACCTCTACCTGCTAACAGGCAAAATTCGTGACATGAGGAGGGGCCACCACCCCTGCAGTTTTCAGCTCGCTGTGCCTTAACACACGCAGGGCCACCCATGTCACAAGTTTTGCCTGTCAGCAGCTTGAGGTGCAGTTTCCCCAAAACCCCTGTACCTATCACCTTGACACTTGGAAGGGTTTGTGGCCTCACCAGGGGCTGCCATCCCTGCAGTTTTCACCTCACTGTGGTGTAACACATACACATGACGTGAGTTTCGCTTTCAAGAATTTGGGGTGCAGTTCCCCCCAAACCCCTGCACCAATCTTCTTGAAACTTGGCAGGCTTTATGCTCTCAGTAGACGCTACCATCTCTTCACGTTTCATTCAAATCAGACAAAAAACAACAAAGTTATAGATATTTCATTGGTTTCCCATTATACCCTATGGCTGGATCTCCAAAGCGGCTCTGAAGCTTTTCTGGAGCGGGTCAGAAGCTCCGAACCGCTTCAGAAAGCCTAACGCGCTTCGGAAAGCCTAACAAAGCCAGCACTTTGATCCAGATATGCTGCTTTGGACACTGAAGTGTCTGAAGCTTCTCCGGATCCTAAGCACGGTCCGAAACCTTGCACAGCCCTACTAAACAGTGAAAAGCATGTTTGCTAGTGTTTGAGCATCTATCATTTGAGCCAGAATGTGAATCTTAGATATGTATCAGTATGACAATGCATACTATATTTCAGAACCTGCTACTGAAAGCTGCCTTGCCTTGGACAATTTGTCATTTTCCTGGAAAAGAAACTGCCTTCTTCTATCAGAGCCTGACTCAGTTATAGCCACTCTCTCTTTGAAGATGTTTAGACTGTATGAACGATCAATGTGATTAAATATTCATAGTGACATTTCCTTAAAATGCATTCCCACTTAGGTCAGCTATTTCTTTATGCCACTCTATGTTCTGTACTATCCCCTTAGTCTTTTTCCAACTTGTATGCCAGTTGAACTCGATGTTCCATAAATCTCCTTCCACAAGTGCCTTTGCTCAGGACATAGTTGAAAAGTTCCAGGCCAGCTCAAATTATATCCATCTTAGACAGTGAGATCCTTTGTTATGGGTTTATCCATTTCATTGTTCTACTAATCAAATGAAAGTCAGGTTTTCTGCAATTGACTGAGTGAGCATCTCAGCACAAAGAACCATGGACTTTGGCTCCATGTGGGTAACAGCAGAAACAGTGAAGGCATGTCAATAGGGCAAGACTTTATCATATAAACACTTGCCCTTGAATCAATTTAGCCCAAGTGCTCAGACCAAGATGCCAATTGGTTAGGCTAACTAGGCCATAAACACAGATCCTAGCTTCATGTCTTTTAAACTAACTTTCCTCTGCCAATATAAGGCATATTTAAAGACATGGTACACAGATGTTGAGTCAGATTGACGTGGTCAGTCTCTTAATTAGCATTTTGTTATGAAGGTCTGTCTAATATGTGAACTAAGTGTGACACTACTGGCTTAAAATGCAACAAATTCAATATTAAGTAGTATAAGTGGAAGTGTATTGGTTAGATCCTTGGGTGAAACACCTAGGTAGGAAAAAAATTAAAGAAAATAGCAAGTATTGTTATTATTACTATTGCTGTATAAAACAATTTACCTTTCATAAAATAAAAGTACCTGTAATGTAGAAGGGCAAGCTTGATGAGTTGGTCATGATTCACCTCAGGATGGGCTAAACTAGAGGACAGTGTACATGAACAGAAACTCAGGGAAATGGCTTCTATTTCCAGCTCAGTCATTGATCTGTTGCACAGGAGACAGCTGTAATTAGAAGTAACTTTCAACAGGTCAGTCCCACTGCTTCATCTCTGTCCCTTCCAAACCTATGTATGTTTAAATGGTGAACTCTTTTGGGCTTCCCCACTTTGCATTTCTACAGAGCCTAAGACAGTGGGGTTCTGTTCTTGTTGGGCCTTTAGGCTCTGCTAGAATATAAATAACTCAAAGTAAAATGTCAGGCCATACGCACATGATCTTGAGTGCAAGGGAAAGATAAAGCAAATTTGTTAATTAGATCACATCTACTGAGAAAAGAAGGATCTTGCAGACAGATTCATAGTCTGGGGATTATGGTTCCCCACTAAGGAATATTTGTATTATGTATAGTTAAAACATTGGACACCCACTTTAACATCATTTTCCCCCACTGAAAATCAACTCATGATTCTGAAAGCAAAAACTGAAATGGTTAAATTATTAAAAGTCTTCCTTACTACTGCACAATGTCCAGGGCTGGATAAAGACAACCCAAAATGACAGGCACAGCCCTGAATGGAGTGTCCCAGTGGCCACTAACTTAACAAAAGGCTCCTCTCCTGACAGCGAGGGGAGCAATAGCACCCCTGCTTTCTAAGTCATGGTGTGGTAGTTGTCCCAGAGCTGCTGCTCCCCAGACAGCATCAGTGGGCTTTTATCAGATCAAGGATCCTGGTTTCTCCCTGGTGTCACAACCCAAGGGTGTGATTTTTGTTTGTGTGCGCTTCGGCATTGCTAAATTGTTCCCGCTAAATTGCAGCTTCTTTGCACGGTGGAGTTTTCTGCTGCAGAGGAGAACCCCGGTGCAAAAGAATTCCCGCCACCAGTAGCTTTCTTTGCAGGTTGCATTTCTTTGTTGCAGCACAGAGATGCTCATTGCAAAGAGTTTCCGCCATTTGTATGCTAATTTGAGCCCCATTATTGGCCAGTTCTGAATTATTCCCACGTGGCGGCTAGTGATTGGCTTGCTAGCCGTATAAAAAGCTTGAGTGGTTTCCGCCCAAGTTGGAGGACTCCATGAACACCAGGAGGAGGAGACGTCATGCTGTGTGAAGATCTCTAAGCGCTGCAGAGCCTATCGGACCCAGCGCATTTCAAGCAGGCAACAGAAGTCTGATCAGCCTCTAGCCTCTCCCCGTCGCCGATAGATTCCTAGACGTATCCCTCCCTGCGCGCAAAAAGAGGACCCACGGAGCCTAGCAAACTTCGTGTGAGTCTATTCAGCTGGAACAACTAACATAGTTGTTCAGACGACCGAACTACCTCAGAGCACAAGTTCCACGGAGCCTAGCAAACTTCGTGTGAGTTTATTCAGAGCTCTTTCGTATGACTACTTTCTTCGGTTGGCACGACGGGCTCGCAGTTTAGAGCCTCCAACCGGATGGGCTAGAAGAGTGTTCACGGGAAGGAACTCTAGTCCGCCTCTTATCTTTTCTATCTGCAACTGTAACTCAAGCAAGTTTTCCAGCCTGCACCGCAACCATCTTCGGTGTAAGTAAAATAATCTTTAAATCAACCATTACGCGTCTGTGACTAATTCTAGCCCGTGCGTGCCTTGCCGCCGCACGGTCTCCTCTGACCCCGCGTGCCCGGGCTGCTGGCCACAGCCCGCGTGCGCAAAGACGGGTTCGCATATCGCTCCCGGCTCGCACACGGCGACATGGACGGGATCGGGAGGCGGCCCGCACACCTGGCACTATTGGCTGCTGCTTGTTCTTCTGCTGGAGGTTATCTCCTTTCTTAGGCAGTTGCCATGGAATTGATTTATGTTCTATTAGGTTGGGTTTTCCAACTCTTCTCTGGAACCATAGAGCTAGAAATCATTTTAAAAAAAATTATACTTGGGTCCTATGGTATTGATGCAACAATGGGTCTTGGGAGGAAAGTTTAAGCAGTAGGGGACTTGACACAAGTTTATTGCTTATTCCCAAATGTGACCCTGATTACACCTGAGTGGCCATGCAACTTACCTGGGGGGGTTCTGCATGCACATGTCTGTGTGAGGACAAAACCAGATCTCAGATGCAGGCTAGGTATTTTGCATTTGCAAACCTAAATTTCAAAACACATGGGCCAATATCTTATAATAGATGTAATTAGAGAAACTATAAAGTCAATGTTTCATTCTGTACTGGGAAATGAGATTTGTTCCCTCCCTCTACGCATTCATTTAAACATAAGAGAAATTTGCATTCAGAAGCTCACAGTTCTCTGGAAAGGATCTTAACTTGATGGCTCTTCAGCCTGTTTGTAACCAGTCAGCATTCTTTGGATCTCTCCATCTCTCGCTTACTGTGTGAGTTCCCTCCTCCCTGTAAGCATAAACGCGTTAATTAGTCCTGCAAAGATGTGCACACGTGGCTGTCAAGCTTTTACAAAATGCTTTGGCTGATTCTCCCAACAAAGGAATCATCTCTTTGCCATCATGTCTCATTCATTTAGCCTTGAACAAAATATTTATTTGCATTTACATCATGCTAATGCACACAATTCCATATATCCACTAAATAAGGTTTCTGGTAGTTAGATCTGTGTCTGCCACAGAAGTGTATTGACTTTATGCTTGCTTGCTATAAAAACCCATTAGCATTTTCTTTTATATTCAGGCAGTAACTCATTTTCACTAGGTGCTGAGTGCTCAGAATCTCCTGAAAATGTAGATGCCTCAAGTTAGACCACCATCCCCACCACCGAAAGAAGAAAAAAAAAGCAGACCAAATCAGAGGTTACCTTTTCGGAAAAGGACCTGCAATGCAAAGCTAGATCTTATGGTGACTAAAAACAAACTGATTCTGTTTCCCCTTTAAAATTCTCTCCATTCCCTGTGAGCTGTTACTAGGCAAAATGCCACCATTAACTTTGCTATGCAAATCTGTAACTAAAGGATATCTCTGAATCCTGCCTATTTCTTGCTCAGCATATCCAGGCTGTCTCTAAATCTTTCTCCCTCCATAATGACTATGACGTCCAGCAATGTATTTCTTTCTCTGCTGTCAAAATTCTCCCACCGTCCTTAGGCATTTCCCATCTTTGATTAGTGTAACAACTTGCTCATTAGGGGTCACTAATGCTCATTGTTTGCCTATTGGAGATTATTGTTATAACCAGTATAAAACTCTAAATAGAAAGAGCTAAATGGCACACAGTAACTGCCCCTAAACAGATACAGAAGACACCGTGTGAGTTAGTGCACTCTTTGTTACAGGTGAATCTTTAAGCTTTCCTTGTGTAAAACAATGGCCGAAAAGCAAGATAGATGCCCAGGTCCACCTTACCAGACCGTGTCCTCTAATGTTTCTGCACCTAATGAGGCATCAATCTTGGTTTTGAGTCTCATGGATATTACTGCAAAATGAATATTGAATAATTCATAATGAATACTAATATAACATACATGAAGAAATATGATGAATTAAAATAATGAATTTAACAATGCATTAAGAACACAGCTCTCCACTGTGCCATCATTCTCTGTGACAGTCACAAGCTCTCAGCTGCCCACAGGCATACCAGACGCATAACAGTTCAATAAGAGGAAGTTAAATTTATTGGTTATGTCTAAAAATCACGGCCTGTTTAGAAAAAATAATATTTTATTGTATTATATTTAAGTAAAATTTGTCTAGGGAAACTTTTCAGAATATTTGGATATGTTATATTATGATACTTGATATCAGCTTAAAATTTGAACTGCCATTGCTATTTTTGTTGTTATCATTTGTATTTATACCAGTGATTCTCAACTGGGGTGCCATGGCACCTTTGGGTGTCTGGAAATCCTTTCAAGAGTGCCACAGAGTGCCATGCACTGTTAGCACTGTTAGGCATGCAAATATGATTCACAAGATAAACCCAAAAATGTAAAATAGGAATCCATAGTGCTAAAAATATTTCTGACTTGTGGTCTTTCTGAGTTCTCTGCAACAGAAGAATTGCTCTATTATTTTTCTGTAGTCAAAAAACAAGTGAAAACTAAGAGCTGGTATAGCACTCCATGGAATATGAGTCTTTGGTTTATACCAAAGAAACAACCAGGAATGGACCGCCATTTTGCCAGAAACGATACAAATAGTAGGTAGCCATCAGTCTCTGTCCCAAAGAGTGTACAATCTAAATAGATATGAGACAGCATATACATTTCATAATGGTGGTTTTATTTGGGGCAGGGAAAAGAAATTAGGCAGGAAGGAATTTTAAAAAACTAAACTGTGGGAAAAGAGGATAATGGGGACAGCATAAAGAAGAGGGGCAAGCATGGAGTGAAAATGGACACACCGGGCATGTCTACACATGCTAATTTAAGGCATATTAGCCATTTTTAAAGCACATTAAGGGTGCAGGTCTATATGTGCACACCCTTAATGTGCCTTAAAAATGGCTATTCATGTCTAAATTTGATACCTGCAGTAGTGTAGAATTACCCAGAATGCTGGCAGGTCTAGCACATGGCCCTATTTTTCAACCAGTGATGTTGCAAGTAAGAGTCACCACTGGCAACACAAGATGTGTTTCCTGTTCTTGCTGTTCTTATTTCTTTCCTTTTGTATGTGTTTGTCCTGTTTTTGTCTTCAGGGAAATAGGCATCATCAAGAGTTCTGTCCCATCTCAACTCCTCTCCTCCTCTTCTCACTTGGCTGCTTCTTCCCTCCCCAAGAAAAGACAAGTGATCCTGCCTTCAAATACCATCAAGAAGACTGCCATACAAGAGAGGAGGGTGGGAAGGGGTTCTTCATAAAAACTCTCTGAAGCTAAAGGGCAGGGAACTCTAGTTAAATCTAGTTTGTTAAGAAGAAAAAGGTTTACTTAATACTTTGCTCTTCAAATACTGTAACTACATTTTCCTCCTTCTGCATCATTAATAAAAGGCTATAAATATTTTTAATGTTGAGAAGCCACTATCTCTGTACTCCTGATCCTGAATCTTGTTTAGCTGTTGAATGCAGTATGGAGATAGTCATGTTAACACCTTCAGTTATCTGGACCCATTTATTTAATCAAGACTAATGCTGCAGGGTGATGATTTCCATTTTAATGCCTCCATCCCTGCAACCCCCTTGCCCCACC